CAAGTTCTTCAATATGTAGGCTTAGCCTCACTGCCAAATGCGTCCAGAAGCCTCTGGATTTCAGGCTCGATGTCTATTCCTTTTTCTATTCTTTTCTTTTTTCTTTTGAACTAACAAGCACCTCTTTATTTTCATAATACAAACAAAAGTTCATTGAAAGCACAGTAATCATATCTTCAGTCAACTTTTTCATAGTCCAAAGAATAAGGCCTCTGAATTAAAACTGACATTTTGTCTTAAATATTCCAAACCCCATCCATGTCATCTTTGGAATTTTAATCTTGAACAATACTATAGTATTTCTTCTTCTAAGGGCAAATTCTGGTCAGTGGCCAATTTCTTAATTTTTGCTACCCATTCATTTTTCTTGGTCTTGCTCTCTGGTTCCATACATTTTAGACTGTTCAATAGATTTGTAATAAACTTCCAAGATGAAGGGCAATTTCTTCTTATTGTTTGCCTGAAATCTTGGCTTGTGTTCATCTTATTAAACAAAAAATGTGCTCCAAAAATGTCCATAAGTTCAGCTACTTAACCTCCTTTAAAGATCTTCTTTGCTAATGGTTCCATGGCATAGGCCATCCTGAGCCCTACACACGGTACCGATTCCTTTCTCTTATTTGTTAGTACCTGAGCCAAAAACCCGATTTCCTAATACCCATGTGGGGAAAGATGAAGGTGGAAGGAGAGTGAAGATGACATCTTTCAAAGGCAGTCAGATCTCCCAGGCTTCAGGGCGACTCCTCTGTCAATACAGATGTTACAGCTGACACTGGAAGAGTCAGCTCTGGGATCTAGACTTTGATCCGTGAAACTCATGGCTCCATACAATTAGAGAAATAACTTTAGGTTTCAACAATGCCATCAATCATACTAATTAGGATTCTGAAACACAGGCCTATTTTCTTAATTGCATGAAGAAACGAGAGTAATCTGACCAAGTTGTTAGTTGAAATTCTTAAAGTATTATTTGCAAACAAAGAAAAATCTGTGAACTAACTTCTAAATTATTCCAGAAGACAGATTTTTTTGAGGAAATAGATTAAACCATGAAAGCAAAGTTACTTAATTTCTCCACTAATAGTTTAAAAAGGTAATGAGTTTTTAACTTGACTTTTATGATGCTGAGTAGTCACTTGCACAATTATGAATATTTTGGTAGTTACATATTTTTCTTTCTTTTTATTTAATGGAGTTTGACTCATGGCCTTGAGGTTGCTAGGCAGGCACTCTACCACTTGAGCCACACTCCCAGCCCTTTTTTGCTTTAGTTATTTTTCAGATAGGATCTCACTTTTGCCTGGATGAGACTTGGTCTGTGATCCTCCTACCTACACCTCTCATGTAGCTGGGATTACAGGTTTGAGCCACCATACCTGGCCAGATAGTCTTATATTTTTCTAACAGCATTCTATCATTGTATTCTCCAAAGAGTCAATTGTAAATTATAATATGGTATTAAACTTGTAAAATGCATATTTATTCATTACTTTAAAAAGTGAAACACTGAGGAAAGTGTGATATTGTAAGCTTCTGCCCTATAATTCAGATTGGTGAAGTTTATTTGGTTTCTCTGTTAATGTCTGGCATTAAAGAAATGTTTCATAGAGATGTAGAATGAAGTCAGGAAACACTATGGCTGAGAGATATAAATATTTACAATTTTTCTTCTGCAAGTTTAGAGGTTCTATAGGTTCTGTTATTTGTGCTTATTTTAGAAATGACAATACAACAACCAATTTCTCTAACTCTTAGATAGCACAGGTGTCTTAAAGTCCTTTAGCACATTTTATGTACACTATATATGTATTTGTTGTGTATTTAATTGTTCATTATTTTTTAAGTTCCAAGGGTAATAGTATACCTACTGAGGATATTTTTCATCTCACTGTTCAGGGTACATGGAAAGCTGATCTTTACTATCTGTTGAGCCTGTGCAGAGATCATAATGACAGCAACCTGCTTTCTCCTACTATAGCTCAATGTGTTTGTGCACAAAATTATAAGGTTATTATAATATTTGAAGTTTAACATTTTAAGAACTTTTGCAATGAAGTCTTTAGGGATGACATCAGACTGCAAATATGGGAGATTTGGGAGTTTTTACCTGAATATAAATGTCAAATCTGGAGGTCCAATACAAAGATGCTCAATTTGTATCCCATGTGATCAGCCTGGATAGTGCCAGATTTCCTGATTTCACTGTCAGGCAAATATGTATAGTCACAATTTCCAATACTCCTTGGTTAGGAAACCTGTAGAGAATTCATCTACATCCCTTAATTTTCCCAAGAAGTTTCATGTTTAGACTTCATAGGTGTTGTTATAACAGTGATCTTCCATGACAAAAATTCCTGCATGCCAAAAATTTCTCTCAACTTTTCATGGCCTACTTGATCATTCTTGAGCCCATCTAGAATTTTACAACTCACTTAACAGTGTAAGTCTTTATCTTGACTGTGGCTCTGTCATTACTGACAGGGTAACTAGAGGCATCCTTGCAAACTTAGATGGGTCCACAGTCCAGTGAATTGCCCAGATGGGAGCACAAGTTTGTTTCTGAAGGTCTGAAACCACATAGCTATAAAACAATAAGTGAAAACATCATGGTCAAGATGAAAGATATCACAATTAATATCAGCAATAGTATTGGAGGAAATGTTGATAATTTTAAAAAATTAGTATTTAACTCCTGTTCTGGAGGTAAAATGAGCCAACTGCTATGTATTTTGCAGAGATGCAAAACCAATCCCCTTTGTACTGACTCTCATCATGCTTTTGTGACTTTTATAGCTTCAGAAATTTGAGAAGCAATAGAATTCCTCACTTTTGGAGAAGATTAACATTTTTTATAATCATAATGTTGTCTTCTGCCAAAGTTCTTAAAAACCATTTTTCTGTTGTTAATAATGTAGCTGTGGTGTGGATAATTTTTTAACTAAAACTCTTGTTTTTATTTTAACCTCTGCTTGACTCCTCTGCAGCCTTCCTCTTAAGGTCTCATCTCAAATTTCTGAGCTGTCAATGCTGACAGGATGGCTTTGTCCACCAGACCACCTTTAGAGTTTCTAGGAGGAAAAAACTTGTGTCCAGACCAATTTTGTTCTTTTATGTTGTTTGTGTAACCTATGACCAAACTAAGGAGGGTGTCAATAATTGATGGTTGTATGCACTGATTTTTCTCAACATTACTCTGCAAGATCAAAAAATTCTCTTTGACTGGTACATCTTGTAGGAAGAGATGTCAGTACAATCAGAGTAGGTCACTTTCCCCTTGGGGAACCTTTTGTAAACATTCAGGTTAATATTTTTTGACTGAGTTATTTGAACTCAGGGCCTCACACTTGGTAGGCAGTCACTCTCCACTTCAGCCACTCTGCAAGCCCTTTTTTCGTTAGATATTTTTGAGATAGGGTGCTTGAACTATTTGCCTGGGCTGGCTGTGAACTTTGATCCTCCTGATCTCTGCCTCCCGAGTAGTTAGGATTACAGGCATGAGCCACCAGCACCACGTTACAGATTGATTTTATTTATATAAAATGCGAATGTGAATAAGTTATAGCAATTTTATCTTCTCAGGTTAGAAACTTCTTCATCCACCATTTAATAAAATGAATACTGAGACTAGTATTTTGAATAAAACAAGCAACTTTCCAGGCACACACTTTATAGAAAGGATCGTAAAGATGTTGGAGCAGTTCAGCAGGTTGATCAGTTTCTACACTCCCCACACCACATGGAATCACTTGACAAGGAGCTTTTGGAACACTAAGACAGAATTTAAAAAATAATCTAATATTTGTACTGAATTAAAGAGGTAGATAATTTGCCACAGCACATTTGACACAACAGCTAGATGAAAGAGAAAGAAAACTAAAATTCTTCCTTTGTACAATATTAATGGGGGGGTTGTCTGTGAGAATTCTAACTGTTCTCTCTATGAGTGCTCCATGACAAACATCCTGGTTGTAAACTAAATGTGATATGCTAAAGGATAAAAAGACTAGATAACTTGAATCAATAAATGGTATTTGGAATTTGAAGAAACTTTGCCTCAAACTGAAGCTCAAAAAGATTAATGTTTCCTAAGATTATACACCAAGTCAAAGAACTAAGGTTTAAATTCAGATCCAATTTGGGTGACACACTCTGTATTCCCAAGATGCACGGGACTTTCAAGCTGAAGCCTGCCAGCACCCTGCATATCTCTCTGGAGTCCCCAGTCTCTGCTTTGTGTGGCTGTTTTTGGAGGGGTATAGACTTTGGATGACCACAGGGACACTTGCTTATGTGTTTCTGGAAGTTCCACTAAAGTCAGTGACAGCATCAGGAGACAAACTTGAAAATCCTTTTTATTTAGATTAAATTACTAACTTTCAATTTCCTTTAGCTTATCGAGATATTTCTGATTTGTAAAGAAATACTCATTATACTCTCCAATCAACAGCTTTAATTCTGCCACATCATCAGTTACCAGTTAAACTGCTCTTTGAGGTGTCCACAGAATCACAGCATGTTCTAGTATTGGACTATGTGAAAGCTCACAGTACTTTCATTTCAACTGGGACAGGGTAAATAATCTGTAACACAAAGTTATGGTATATTAAGTACCAGGTTAAAGATCTCCTAACTTGAAGTTATCTCACTTCCACCCTTTTACTCCTAAAAACCTTACACATACAATTGTCCAAATAGCTCTCTTCAAGTAAGAGGTGAATGCAGGGTTAAAAATTGTGACTGCATCAATGACCAACTCAGAACTGGCTCACCAAAGTGGCTCATTAGGCTATTTCAGATGCAACTGTATCAAACTTTTAAAACACTAAATAAAAATAATTACTTAATGAAAGAGATTCTAGGTTTCAGAAGAGGACTTTTAAACTGCATGTCTGACCAGCAATAGTTGATGCTATGATGATGCTATTCATCTCTGATGCTGATTGGTTCTTCAACACTGAGATTACCCAATCCAGCATCAGACAAATGAATACTTTGGTTCTTATTATTTGGGTTGTGGGTAGAGAAAGGACATAGTTCTCACTGCCTGAGACTTGTCTGCTGCTCCCCAACCCATTCCTCTCCTGTTTTCCAGCATGGTGTGTCTGTGGCTCCCTGAAGGCTCTGACATGGCAACTCTGACAGTGATACTGATGATGCTGAGTCCCCCCCTGGCTTTGGCCAGGGACACCCAACGTAAGTGCACACCTCAGTTGCTGGGTACTATGGGCTGGGGGGAGAGGAAGGGAGTTAACTTCCTCACTTTCTCAGGCCAAATCTCTTAAAATTTGTCATATTTTCTTCAATAATGACCCATCTTCCTTGAATGAAATCCAAACTATTTCCACAAAACAAAAGCCTGGTTGCTTGCCCTCTGTATGTGATATATGTAAGAGGGCTCCATGTATAAGCCATTTCTTCCAAGCCTTCTCCAGTAAAATTAGATTACATCAAATTCCCTCAGTGCCTTGAGAGGATTTATGAATAATGTTAAACTCATTCCCCATATAGACTTCCCTTCATTGTACTGAGTTATGCCAGAAAAAGAGGTCTCTCTTTAAAAATAGAGCATATGTGTATAGTTCTATTCTATTTTATGTGTATAGTTCTGTTCTGTTTTATTGTTTTAAGTAAAAATCATCAAATATTCAACTAGTTAGAAGGTTTCTCTGAAAATGTTATAGAGAGCCAAAGGAAATTGGAAAGGTATCTCCCAGAAGATCCTGTGTTACGTCCTCAGGACAGGATCTGTGGTGTTGCTGCCTCTCTAATCTGTGAGGAAGACCAAGAGGTGTCCTCTGTTATCTTCTCTTTCATCTTAAACTCCAATGTTTAGGAAGCCTGTGTCCCTGTCCTGGAGATGCTCTGATGGATGGTGGGGTTAGTGTCCCTCTTTCTCCCGTGGTTAGCACCCTGCAGCTGAAGCAGAGATCCTTTGTGTTTGAAATGGTGCCATAGACAGTGATCCTCTACAGGTTGCTCTTTAGTGTCTTAAAGTACTTAAGGCATCTGACACAGGTTAGTGTTCACTTTATGAATCTGTTCTGAACCTATCTGTACTATCATTTTCTCTAACATATCCTACATTCTCTAACTTGAGCCCATGAAAGGGGATTGAACTAGTTTAATAAAATGAAAGAAAAATCTATTTTTAAGTAAAAAATAGTGAAATATAAACTTTATGGACATCAAATTATGCACCCCAGCTGGGATACAAAGAGAGTGTGAAGGTTGTTAACATCTCGAGGGACTAGATGCCAATAAGCAGGTAATAGAAATTCATTGGTTTTGTTGCAGAAATGGTACAGAAAATATGACTGACCAGCGAGAATAAGACTTAAATCCAGGTGGTTGGAAGAAAGGAAGGTTTATTATGCTAGCAGGCAGCACCTGGATATCTCCAAAATGGCACAGGCCCTGAGCTCAGGGTGGTTGAGGTTTTTATACTGAGAAAAGCAGCAGCAAGCAAGCAGGGAGTGCAGAAGCAGACTTGGCAGTTAGCTGTTCAATGTCAGCACAGCTGTGGACGAAGGCCATTCACAGTTTCTAGCAAGATAGCTGGATGCAGGGTCCCCGGCTAAGTGGAAGGGCTTTACTCGTCTTTGGTTCTTTTCCCAGCTTTGATCTTTCTCTGGGTTTCCTTATCATTCCCTCTTCTCATCCATCATAATCCCTTATGACTGTTTCTGAGAAGTTATTTAGGGACAGTCTTTAGTACTGTCACACTAACTGTAATTTAACAGCATTTATCCAGTTGTGAATGAACCTGGTGAGGAGGTTTATCACACAAGGTCCTAGGAGCAGTAGTAAGAGTAACGCAGTGAGTGGGCCCACCAGGGGGCTACCCATGGGGCCCGGTTCCTTAACCCTGTACTCCATAATGTTTTCTGGTTTCTTGCTTTGATTTTTCTAGCAAGTAGTGAGCATTTTTTCTCATTATCCCTGATTGGTTTGCATAGAAGCAGCATCACGTTCAAGGAACCATCCTAGTCCAAAGACCCTAACTCCCCACCGTTGAGGTTCATCTATTGTTAACTGGAAGAGGCCTCCTTTTCCCTCACCTTGTTCTCTGGCTCGCTCTTTTTTGTTGTAGTTGCTTGAGGATAATCTCTGGATACTGACACCCTGGCCTTTGGTTGGGGCCCTTCCAAGCTCCTGGGGAGGCAAAATCAACACATGACCAGTATTGTAAAAAGGACCATGAGGGCCTCCCAAGTCATTCCAGGTCCATGGTATTTGGCCATACACATTGGATAAGCAATATTTGAATTGGCCAGAATAGACCAGGGTGGTGGGCCCTAAGCAAGCTACTTCTCTAACTTCCAAGTCTAGGCAGTACCTAAAGGAAACAACACAAGGGCCTGACAAAGCACAGGTGGTTTGGTTAGTTGATATTGTTCCCTCTTGTTCTTTCAAGAATCTGACCTCCCATACTAGCTTATGGAGGATCCCAGTAGGGCCTGGAGGCCTCACTTGCTAGTCAGTCATTATGTCATAGTCGTTAGCAGGATCAGCAGGTCTGTCTGATGCCTGATCAGGAGTTCCTCAGGTCAAGGTCAGCTTCAGCAGCTGGTCTGGGTTGGTTCGAGATCTCCACTCCTGGCCTGGATCCTCTGCTGGCTTAGTGTGTGTGTGATGGATCCACGGTTTTAGCCCTGCAACCTTAAGAGCTGAAGAGGTGGTCAGAATGACTTGGTAAGGTCCCTCCCATCTGGGGTCTACTCCCTCTAACTTGTGTTTTTACCCAAACCCAGTCTCCTGGGCTCCATGGGTGTAGAGGCTTGAGGGTCACAGGGGCTGGTTCTGGGTATCCTAGGTGCTGGGCAATTTCCCTAAAGGCGTGTACTAAGCCTCTTAGAAATTTGTGGAGGTCGATCTGTCCATAGTCTTAAAGGTCTCCAGTCTAACCAGGTATTAGTGGTGGTGGTAGCTGTCCATATAAGATTTCAAGAGGGGAGAGGCCACATTTCCTGGGTGTGCATCTGATCTTGATCAGGGCCAAGGGCAGCACATCTGGCCAGAGCAGCCCTGTTTCTTGACATTGTTTTGCCAAAGCTGTTGTAATAGTTCTGTTCATCCTCTCCACTCAGCCTGATGACTGGGGGTGACACCGGGTATGCAAGTCCCAGGCCAGGCCAACTGCACGAGATATTCCTTTGATCACCTGACTAACAAAATAGGCCCATTGTCTGACCCAATGCTGCTAGGCATCCCAAACCGGGGAATGATTTCTTTGGCTAGTGCTCTTGATACCTCTATAGCCTTCTCTGTGTGGGTGGGGTGTGCTTCCACCCAGCCTGTAAAAGTGCAGACCACCACCAGGAGGTACCGATAAGTTTTGCTGGATTGGATTTCAGTGAAGTCTATTTCCAGGCGTTGGAATGAGTAGACTCCTCTTTTCTGGACTAGTAGTGGGGGCCTGGGCCCCTGACCTGGATTGTGCTGGGCACAGCGTAGGCAAGCGTTGCTGACCAACTGAGTTAGAGTTGCCAGTCGGGGAATGACCAGATGTTTTTCTAACAGTCCTTGCAGGGAAGTTTTGCCCAAATGAGTGATGTCACGTGCAAGCCTTACCAGGCCTGTGGCTGCCTTTTCTGGTATCAGGATCCTTTCTTCCAGGGTGATGAACCAGCCTTCTGAGTTTTCTTTAGCCCCTGTCTTAAGGGCCTGTTCTGTTTCTTGTGGGCTGTACTCTGGCCGGTCCGGGAGGACAGGGAGGGCAAAGCATACTTTGGCTGAAGCAGCATCTTTGGACTTCATTTAAGAGGGCTGCCTCCTTTGTTGTCCTGTCTGCTAGTCCATTTCCCTGGCTAATCTTGTATGGTCGGTTGGTATGGGCCAGACAGTGGATGACTGCAATGTCTCTGGGTTTCCAGACTGCCTCTAACAGTTGCAGGATTTTCTGGCTATTTTTGATCTCTTTACCCCCCAACGTCAGAAGGCCTCTCTCTTTGTAAATGGTCCCATGGATATGTAAAGTGGCAAAGGCATAACAGGAGTCAGTGTAGATATTGGCTCTCTTCCCATCTGCTATGGTGAGGGCCTGAGTAAGGGCGTATAATTCTGCCCCTTGAGCTGACCAGTGGTCTGGCAGTTGTCTATGTTCCACAACTTGTGTGACGGTGGTCACTGCATACCCAGTCCGGTATCCTCCTTCTTGTAGGCTCTGGGTTCCATCAGTGAAGAGCTCCAGGTCAGCACTGGGAATAGCAGTATCCACTAAGTCGGGCCGAGAAGAGAAGACTTTGTCTAAAACCTCTTCACAGGAGTGGAGGGGCTCTCCCTCCTCTTCTGGTAAATATGTGGCTGGATTGAGAGCTGTCACCAGTTTGACTTTTATCGGGGGTTTTCACCTGATAAAGCCTGATATCTGGCTACTCGTTCCGCAGTCATCTACAACTGGCAGTGCCATTGAGCAGAGAAGTCACTGATGGGGGACCCTGAGCGTGATGTTTTGTCCCAGAGTCAGTTTATCTGCTTCTTGTATTAAGAGAATTGTTGCTGCTAGTGCCTGGAGGCATGGGGGCAACCTGAGGCCACGTCTAGCTTCTTGGACAAATAGGCTACTGGTAGGTTCCATGGCCCCTGTGGTAGGGTCAAGACACCTAATCCTATGCCTCCCTTCTCATGGATGTAGAGGTGGAAGGGGTGAGTAACGTCCGGAAGAGCCAGGGCTGGTGCCTCGCCCACCCAGGTGCTGTTTAAGGTTTTGGAATGCATCCTCTTGTTCAGGGCCCCAGTGTAATGGTCCTGTGGGGTCCCCCTTTAGTGCCTCATAGAGTGGCCCAGCTGTGGCTGAGAATCCCGGGATCCATAGATGGCAGAAGCCTGCAGCACCCAGAAACTTTCAGTTGCCTCTGGGACTCTGGGCGTGGGTACCGGAGGATCACCTCTTTTCTCCCAGTTCCTAGCCTTCTTTTACCTTGGCTCAGGTGATACCCTAGGTATATGATCTCCTCTTGGCATATTTGTGCTTTCTTGAGTGAGGCCTTGTATCCTGCTTCCTGTAGGATCTGGAGTAGCTCCACTGTCCCAGTCTTGCATGCCTCTGGAGTGGGGGCTGCTAGGAGAATGTCATCTACATACTGGAGGATGGTGCAGGCCTTTGGTCAGCTGTTCTCTAGGTTTCAGGCTAAGGCCTCCCCAAAGATAGTGGGGGAGTTCTTGAGGTCTTATGGGAGCTTAGTCCAGGTCAA